ATATACGCAAGATATTTCCGATTAATAATTTTAAAAAATATGATATGAAGAGACAGAGAAAATTTTCCACATTTTGCTAAATCCGAAAAACGCATTACTACAACACTATAGAGGTTTAACTACAAAAATTGCTTATATACAATTGCTTACTCATAAATTGTATAATTTTGAAATTAAGACACATTGAATATCAATTTAATCCTTAAATAACATAATTATATTAGGTTAAATTAACACTCGAATATTTAGTTGCCTTGTATGTACAAATATATATACTCCTCACTTTTTAAATTTAATATATATGCATTACTTGTAAAAAAAATGGTATTATTTTAGAGCTAATAAAAATTTAAAAAAGTTTAATTAAAAATACATGTTCTAAGTTTTCAGATTTCAAATAATAAACTAATTACAATTAAAAACAAAATGTGTAATAATTTCTGTAAATGAAACAATGCTTATGCTGTAAGCATATGGTTGTATTCCCTTTTGTATATTTCAGAAATAAATAAACGTAATATAGAAATATGTCATAGAGAAGTACGATATAATACGTAGAATTAAAATTTATATACGTTTAATTTAAGATAATATGATATATATGTATATATATATATATATATACATATATATATAATTTTAGAGAATCTAATAATTTTTCATTTTAAGTGCAACTTGTTCTTACGCAACTATTCTAATGAACCTGGCCGCCTTTTCAGAAACATTTATCCATTCATAACGATATACTATAAAAATTGTTCCTGATTTTTTAATATCTAATATTTAATAAATGTATTTTTGGAGAACTTACTAATAACACACGCACCTGTAAAAAAAAATAATTCCGTTTATATTATAACTAAAACATATACGCAAGATATTTCCGATTAATAATTTTACAAAATATGAAATGAAGAGATACAGAAAATTTTCCTCATATTGCTAAATCCGAAAAACGCATATTAACTACAACACTATAGAGGTTTAACTACAAAAATTGCTTACATACAATTGATTACTCATAAATTGTGTAATTTTGAAATTAAGACACATTGAATATTAATTTAATCTTTAAATAACATAATTATATTACGTTAAATTAACACTCGAATATTTAGTTATCTTGTATGTACAAATATATATACTCCTCACTTGTTAAATTTAATACATATGCATTACTTGTAAAAAAAATAGTAA